AGCTGCAGCCTGTCATGCAATTACATTAATTCACATTTATCCTTGTTCTATACTTGATTCTGACTTTTTTTCTCCATTTTACCGATTACCTTCGCTTGTATTCCGTTTTGCCTGTTCCAAATACGAATGCATAAATGTCCATACAACTTAAATAAAAAGATTATTCTCATTTATTAATAGAATTTTACCATATTTCATTCTACCTGCATTTTATCCTCCCTCCTTTGATTAATTATGAACGTTTGATCACTTATCACATAATTCTTCGCATTTGCGCATAAATCTGGTCGCGTGTTTGTGTGTATCTTTTGTGTAAATGTTTGTTTTCAAATATGTATGGTTGCACTCATTTATCCTTCACGTAGGCGAGACCTTGAGCATCAAGGCCACATACGGCGGCAACAGTGATCAGATTCCAGAAGTTAAATTCTTACGAGGAAACAGCACTGATCTCAGCAACGAAAAACGGGCAACCATCAAGGTTGACCCTCTCACAAAGTCCGTCACTCTCCTTCTGAGGGACGTACGCATCGAAGACAAGGGAACCTACAGTATCCAGTTACTCTACGGTGGAACTATCTGTGACAGATCTTCCTTCCAAGTTGCAATCAATAAATTGTGAGTGAATTGTGGAAAATGGAATAACAAAATCGAAGCTTCTCACTATAAAACATCATTCATCAGTGTATCGCCCTGTTCAATTCTGGTCACATCAATGTACTCTTAAACAATATTTAAAATCCAGTCTATTGCGATAACGCTAAACCCCTATACATTTAATTTGATTATATGAAAAGTATTATCAAAGTTTGAAGCTAAAGCTACTCAAAGTTATAATCATCCTCAAACTAATTAGGCTATTGTTGAATTAAAAGTTTTAAACTGCAACACCGAACCCATATGTCGGATGAATTTTAGTTGGGCTGGTTGTGAAGCGTCGTTCCTATTAATTTAGGATTACTCTCCTATGCTGACCAGGGTTTCTAATACCTAAATCGAGATATGATTTGCGTCGATTGTACAGTAGCTAAATCAGGTTGGCTTATTTGCACAAGCCTTTAGAATTTTCGGTGATCACAGCTAGAGGGTAGTTGTTGATTTCTACGCCTTTGATGTTTTAAGATGAATTTTTAAAATATGGAGGAGCCCACCTAGCAATTCTTAAGGGCTTGGTAATAAGATATTCTTATTTGTTGCTCTAGAAATCTTCTGTATTAGGCGCTTCGTTCATTTTAGCATAAATATTTGAGGAAATTAGTGCTTTATCTCCTCGAATAGTCCATAATAATTATTGTAATAGAAATATTAAAAATGTTGATATAGTGCGTTTGGGTTTGCGCCCACAGTTACTAGTATTACGAATAGGAAACTAGTAATAGCAAAATCCTTTTGGATTTTTTTCATCAGATTTCTTGCCGTTTTTATCAAATATCTCCTACAACTTTTCGGCAACAAGGTCGATTTGCTCTGCTGTATAAAGCTTTCTTGACTTAAGCAAGAATAGGGACAAGGCAATGCATACATTTACTTTGGATGCCGTTTGTCCTGGGTATGAGTCCCAGATGATGTGCTGATGAGACCAAGAGTAGGAGAAAATTGCAGTCCGACATATTTTTGAATAGTCTTTATGATAATGAGAGCAATAGGCTACTATAGGGAAATAAATAACTCTTGAATTTTACTGGATATCTCAGTTATCATTTTTTATATAAGTCTGATATTTACATGCTTAACTTCAAAACATTTAGATCTGATTAGTAATAGTAAACTTTACATTAGAGCAAGCTGCGATGTTCTTCTTCATATTCTTTTATATTTGATTAATGTAGAGAACAGAACGAAGACGAACTTGGAGAACTTCCTTCGAGCCGACGGCCATCTGGCATTACCATCCGAGAAGAGTTTGACGAGGTAAGTCAACTGATACAAGAGAGTCTTTCCTATACTTGTAGCGCAAAAAAGCGAACAAGCTGCACTTTTCTTAAACGCTTCAATTATCTTTTGGAAATCCCGAAGATTATCTCGTCCGTGAGTCGTCAGCCCCTTGCAAGTGTTGCTTCTATCCTGGCATATTCAGCTGAATTTAGCTGTTCATTAAAATCACACATTAATGCATGTATAAGCTATTTTTCTGATTATCATCACAAACTAAATAGGAAAAATATTAATATTTAATACTTAATAATAATATCAGAATATTCTGGCATGTTTTGCCTTAACACCTAAAAGTGTGAGCATTTCACAGTGTGATTAAATTTG